CCCGCCACCTTGGGTGTACATGGCTGGCGCCCTAGCCACTTGAGCCACAGGCGCCGAGCCATCCTAGATTATTTTTTAACAGACTTACTGAAGTATAATTCACATATCTTACAATTCGCCATTTAAATGCACAATTTAATGGTTTTTAGAATATTCACTGAATTGTGCAACTATCAATGCACTCCAATTTTAGAACATTTTTATCAACGTAAAAAGAAACCCCTTTAGCAGTCACTTCTCATCCCTGCCCTAGGCAACCACTAATCTGTTTTCTGTCTCTATAGGTTTGCCTATCCTTGATATTTCATATAAATAAAATTTGTAGTTTTTCTGACTGGCTTTTTAAATAAATCTTTAGATTATGTTTGCAAGGTTCTTAGTCTTGTAGTATGTGTCAGTATTTTATTTCTTTTTGTGGCTGAATAATAAATGAGGATATACCTCATTTTGTTTATCCATTCATCCACTGAGGGCCACTTGTGTTGTTTCCAATTTTCAGCTGTTCTAAATAATGCTATGATGAACATTCGTGTACAAATTTTGTGTAGACATATGTTTTTATTTCTTTTGAGTATACACCTAGGAGTGGAATTGCTTAGTTATATGCTAACTCTGTGTTTATATCCTTTTTTTTTTTTTTTACCTTGAGCCATCAGTTGTAAAATTCTGTGTTTCATCATTTGAGGAACTGACACAGATTTCAAAGTAGCTGCACCATTTCACCTTCCCACCAGCACCGAATTTAGGGTTCCAATTTCTCCTCTTTCTTGTCACCACTTGTTAAGTTTTTTTGGAGTTTAGCCCTCCTAGTGAGTATAAAGTGATATCTCATAATTCTTCGTAGACATGTATTCTTGATACTAGACTCATCAAATACTTTGCAATTATTTTCTCCCATTCTGTGGGTTGTCTTTTTCCCTTTCTAGTTAGGGCACTTTGAAACACATTTTTAATTGTGGTGATATTCATTTAGTCATTATTGCTTGTGCTTTTGGTATCATGTCTAAGACTATTTCCTAATCCAAAGTCATAAAAGTTTACCTCTATATTTTTTTATAAGAGTTTTATATTTTCAGATCTACAGTTAGTTTTATGATCCATTTGACTTACTTTTGTGTGTAGTGTGGAATAGGAGTCCCACTTTTTATTTATTTATTTATTTATTTGACAGAGTCTCAAGCTGTCACCCTGGGTAGAGTGCTGCAGGATCATAGCTCACAGCAACCTCCAACTTGAGCTGAAGTGATTCTCTTGCCTCAGTTTTTCTATATTTTATTTTATTTTATTTTATTTTTGAGACAGAGCCTCAAGCTGTCCCCCTGGGTAGAGTGCTATGGCTTCACTGCTCACAGCAACCTCCAACTCCTGGGCTCAAGCAAGTCTCCTGCCTCCGCCTCCCAAGTAGCTGGGACCACAGGCACCCGCCACAATGCCCGGCTATTTTTTGGTTGCAGCCATTATTGTTGTTTGGCGGGTCTGGGCTGGATTCGAACCTGCCACCTTAGGTGTACGTGGCTGGCACCTTAGCCGCTTGAGCCACAGGCACCGAGCCAGTTTTTCTATATTTTAGTAGAGATGGGCTCTCGCTTTTTGCTCAGGCTTGTCTCGAGCTTATGAACTCAAGCAATCCACCCGCCTTGGCCTCCCAGAGTACTAGGATTACAGGCATAAGCCACTGTGCCTGCCCCAACTTTTTGTTTTACATTTGGATATCCATTTGTCCTGGGCTATTGTTGAAGATGATTTTTCCCATTGAATTGTCTCAGCAACACTGTTAAAAATCAATTTATCATAAATGAGGTTTATTCTAGAATTTCAATTTGATTTCATTGCTGTCTATGTCTATCCTTATACCAATACCACACTGGTTTAATTTTTATAGTTTTGTAGTAAATTTTGAAATAAGGAGGTGTTAGTCCTCTACCCTTGTTCTTTTTCAAGATTGTTTGGCTATTGTGGGTCTCTTGAATTTCTGTATAAGAATTAGAATCAACTTATTGATTTCCGCACAAAAGGTAGCTGTAATTTTGATAGGAGTTATTTTGAAACTATTGATCAGTTTGGGGAATATTGTGATCTTAATAATATTAAGGTCGTTAATCCATGAATATGAGCTATCTTTCCATTTATTTAGGTTTTAATTTCTTTCAACAATGTTTCACAATTTTCAGATTATAGATTTTTTACTTCTTTTTGTAATCCATTCAGATTTTCTATTTCCTCTTGAGTCAGTTTCAGTAGTTTGTTTTCCTAGAGATTTATTTATTACATCTAAGTTATCTAATTTATTGGCCTATTGTTCATAGTATTCCCTTATAATCCTTTTTTATTTCTGTTTTATTTCTGTATGTTTTATTTATGTATTTCCTTTTATATGTTCTGATGCTTCCTCTTTAAATCCTAATTTTAGTTATTTGTGTCTCTTTTTTCTTGGTCAATATAGACAAAGGGTTATCAATTTTGTTGATCTTTTTCAAGGGCCAACTTCTGACTTCTTTTTTTTTTCTATTATGTTTCTAGTATGTATACTAATTTCCACCCTAACTAATCTTAATTATTTTCTTTCCTCTGCTTGCTTAAAGTTTAATTTTCTATTT